TCTTGAGCATTTGGTGAACTAAGACAGAATTCTGTTTTTGGCAGTGGAAATAAAGATATCTGATTCGTTAGGGAGTCTTTGAGAGCGGGCGGATTTTTCTCATCCGGCATGCTCGGAAACTCAACCGCTCCGCTCCTTCACAAATCGCAATATTTAATCTTTTAACAGGTTTTCAACATCTAGCTCTTATTTCAAAATAATAAACCTGTAGCCCAACAATACAGAAATACAAAGACAGCAATGCACATGCCAGAACAATGGTATGGGAATATATTGGCATCACAACTTGCGTGGTACTTCGCGAAGTGTGGAGTGAAATATATATATGCAGCCATACAGCGGGATAAAAAATTTGAAAGATTTACATAATATGTACTCTTAATTAATAGAAAGTTCCGCGACATATCCCTTTGGCGCACAACGTTAAAGTTTAATTAATATTTTTGAAGGACAACCTTATGATCTCTCCAACGTAACTTTTCCCAGACATTTTTCCTTGGATTAAATGAATTGACAAAGTCACCTTGGAAAACGAGAGGAGAAATTCATGCATGCCTCTTACGGTATTTTCCAATGTGAAGTTGATGAGACAGAATGTCCCAATGTGATTTTGATCGAAACTTTTGCACGTAGCTAGATAATTCTATAACTGCTATGCATGAGACACAATTTATCACCATCGCAGAATTTCATTTCATGTACTTTTTATTATCCGACGTGCTATTCTATTATATAACACACATGTTTAACAGTCAATATCCAGACAAAATCTATTCTTTTTGGAATCATATCTACAAACGCACATGAACGAGATTTTCATATCGAGTTTGTCCAATAAATTGACATCAACAGAAGACTTTGCTCAACTGTATAATCCATGCAAGATAAATTCCTTTTTATCTTAATAATAACTTTCCACTTATTTAACCGTAATCGCAGTACTAATGTCACCAAACAACTTTGTTATACAACTCTATAAATTAAAATATTCCAAGTGGTTCATGACTCAACTAAAAATGATGTGACCTCTTCCACGTGCATACTTTGTTGTCTTATACTAATTTTCTGGAGTAAAGTTTAAAACAGCGTCGCTGTCTAACGGTGATCATTTGCAACAAGGTGGCTGAAATGTGGATACATTTCCTTTGATCTCAAAATGACTGTAAGCGACATAGTTGCCTTTCAAATCTTGAGCACAAGAAGATGCGAGAACTTGAATTTCAGCAGGAGAAAGAACTCTGTCCCAAACATGTACTTCGGTTAGGTCACCATCGAATGCGTCTCCTGCGTGGAATCCACCTCCGAATGAATCTTGATCTTGTCCAATGACCCAATATCCATCCCCTGGAAGACTTGCCCCATCCACAGTGAAATTAAGAGCGACAGTTCCATTTACGTAAACGACAAAATTTCCATTGGAAGATTGCCACGTAACACACAAATGGTGAAATTTTCCATCAGATAGGGAAATATCGGTACTGAAATAGAAAACAAAATGCAGATGTCAACAATGTCTGAAAACATGCATGTTTTAATATTTTTGCTGTTGAAAGAAATATTTTTGTTTGTGATGAGAATGTGGAATTTCGACCTGCATGCATCTATTCAGCCTCAACCTAAGCCTTCTATTTTTATTTATATATTTTTAATATTCAGCGCCTTTTCACATGAAAAGACTGGGACTAGGTGATTTGGGGGGCGGGGCGGAGGAAGGAAACAAGCCTGACGCAAGCGAAAAAATAGAAGGCCTAGTGGATTTCCCAACAACAAGGCCAAAACTGCCCTGAAACTGCCCTGGTTGCGAAATTCCCAATTATTGCGTTCTCAAACAGAATTATTTGCAACTTAACAGCGAATTTAAACCGATACAGGTGAAATAAACTCATTTAGAGTATAAACTTACTATTTTTATTTGTATACACGCCTAGAAAATCGGGTTTTTTATCATAAAGTTTGAAGCAACACTATTATTATGTTGACAAGGTGTAGCGAAAGCACAAAATGAGTCAAAATATCTACCAAAAGTAGAATCTTATAAATATCGCGTTAAATTGTATTAAACATCTTTAAAGGGCTTTAAAGTTCCAACAATTTTGTACATGCACTGATTTATACTCGAAATAATTCTTTTATTCGCAAGACAATCCTCGAGACAATCTACTGTTTTGCTTTGAATAACTATATTTGCGAATAGGGAATGAGGATTTTGAAATTATTGTTCAAGTATTACGGATATACCATTTGTAAACAATGTACGTTTTATACAGTACTGTACGGGCTAATAATATATGTATCCGTTTTATTTAATAAATTATAATTATATATGTGTTTGTATATTTTACAAACACAAGACTGCTTCTTGACAAAATTGAGAAAATATATATTAATGTAGTTGTGTATAAGACAAAATGAAAGATTGACTCATTTTGTGCTCTCGCTACACCTTGTCAACAAAATAATAGTGTTGCTTCAAACTTTATGATAAAAAAACCGATTTTCTAGACGTGTATACAAATAAAAATAGTAAGTTTATACAATATATAAGTTTATTTTACCTTTTTTGGTTTAAATTCGCTGTTAAGTTGCAAATAATTCTGTTTGAGAAAGCAATAATTGGGCATTTCGCAACCAGGGCAGTTGCAGGTTATTGGGAAATCCACTAGGCCTTCTATTTTTACGCTTGCGTCAGGCTTGCGTCCTTCCTCCGCCCCGCCTCCAAATCACCTAGTCCCAGTCTTTTCATGTGAAAAAACGCTGAATATTAAAAAAATATAAATAAAAATAGAAAGCCTAGGTCTAGGCTGGCATTTATTCATTTAACACCTTTAAAATAAAGAATGCTTAACAGAATAATGTTTATTAACCTTTCGCGCGGCCGCTTGGCATAAAATGTAGCGATTTTGGCCAACACGAGTGTCGCGTTTTTTTCTCGATGGCGCGCGTGTTTCTTTGAAGTCTGGTGACAAAATTAATTTCGAAGTGTGCACCACTTTAATAAGGTTACGGGGACCCGTAAGTTGTCTGTATGCAAATTACTACTATTGAGGTCAATGGTGGTTATTAGGGGAATATAATGATACCAAAGTATGCTCTGGTAGCGTTTAATCTCTCGCCGCACAAAGGCGTTGTTTATCGGCAATTTCGCGCATTATGGCGTTATTTCGTGCATTATCGTGATTTTTGGCTTGCTATACTTTTTCATTTTAAAGGATTAGTGTGAGGGTCATGCATTGCGGGCTTTTGTTATTGTTTACATTTTACTCAAATACAACAAATAGCGATAAAAATACCTTGTTTGGCACATTTCTGATACAAATCTTAATCAGACAAAAAGAGCAATGATTATGAAAGGATGGTTTAAATATATGACGGATTATAAAAACTTTCCCGATCATCTAATCTTTCGTCTCGAAAAATGGCCGCGAGCAGGAGTTTGAGCATGCGAAATCCTGGTGTAACACTAATCCATTAAGTTGATATTATATGATCATTAATGAATCTAAAAGAAGAGAAACTAACTTAATCTTTTTGCACGTAATAATGTTAGGTATTACCAAAAAATCGCGACAGAAGTGAAACACTGTTTGACCCTATCTGCCGTTGTTTGTGGCAAATAAATCAACGAAACCTTAGCCGATGAAGCGAATTGGACTTCTTTAATGCTATTTTTTCTATGGTGTACCCTTTTTTATTTAAAACAAGCGAAATATGCTTAAAATTAAATACAATAATGTGATGAATATTACATTTCCACATTGAGAGTTGTCATGCACAGAAAAGCCTTACAGTCTTACAAATGTCCTCTTCTATCCATACATTATCTCTACAACCCTATCAATAATTGACTCTGCGGAGGAGAGACAGACAGATACGAGTAGATTGACTAGAGTTTATATGTTTGTATTCATGGGATTATTCAAAAATTATGTTACAAAGCCTGTTTTACGTCTATCAAAGATTCTGTGATCACTGTAGGAATCTTGCATCGGTAAGTTGATATGTTTTGAATGGTTTGTTAGAAATCTTTGAGGGTGAACTGGCTCAGTACCTTCAGTGTTAACAACATTTGACCACATAGCATGCAATCCTGACAATGTCAACTATCTGTTACTATATATTTGAAGTTAAAAAAACCTTACAACTGTTGAAGCCAATTCTGCTTGCAAATATATATATATATATATATATATATATATATATATATATATATATATATATATATATATATATATATATATATATATATATATCTATTATATATATATATATATATATATATATATATATATATATATATATATATATATATATATATATATATATATATATATATATATATATATATAGATTACTTTCATCCTGCTCATCAGCATTACACTGATGAGGCCCATAAGGCCGAAACGGTACCGTCTGTAGTTAGATATCGCTCTATGGCCTTTAGGTCATATTGAGCGCTCTACAGGATGAGACATGCCGCTTACGCATTGCACACGCTCACTGCTTGCAGTTTTTTTTTTTTACAAACTTAGTCATAAATGACAGGTTAACCCTACAGAGCTTAATGCTCCATTTACAGGGTCCCTAATAATATGTATATATAAAAAACAAAAAAAAACACAACATTACATTATTTACAACACATTTTATCCACAAGACTGGACAACGGACGACACGAGTGACACTTGACACATATACTTTTAAATGTTTGTGGAGCATTAATGTTATATATTTCTTTAGTCATTGCTTCATAATAAGTTAACAGGTAAGATTTGAATTGGCCGACAGTAACGCTTGCTTCTCGAATATGTGGTGGTAGGGAGTTATATATTCTGGGAGCTCTATTATAAAAACTGTTCTGAAAAGTTAAAGTGTTAACTCTGGAAAGTTTTAATGTTACACTGTTAGTTGTAGCGCGCCTGGTGATACGATCGTTTGATACTATACTAATCTGAGAGTCATTCAATTTAATTGCCTTAAAGAGATACACCAAGTCCAGGTACTCGTGCCAGTAAGACAGAGGAAGTAAACCAGTTTTCAATAGTCTCTCCTGGTAACTAGTTTCAGATCTAAACGGCAGCGATAGGATGAATCTCGTTGCACGTCTTTGAATCTTCTCGACTTCGAGGATTAAAGACACAGACTGCGGGGACCAGACTTGGGAGCTGTACGCGAAACGACTTCGTACTAACGTTTTATAAAGTGCGGTACGTGTACGAGGATCATGCATCTTAATGGAGGACCTTTTTACGAACCCAAGCATTCTGTTTGCTTTCGCACATACAGCAGAGACTTGTTGGTTCCATTTGAGATCTGCAGTAATGAGAACGCCAAGATCTTTTTGAACAAGCCTTTTACAGATGACCGTTGAGTTGGCTGAGTTATCGTTGTTGAGATGGTAAGATGACTGCACGGGTTTGAGATTCCTTGTTACCTTAAGAACTCCACACTTAGTTTCGTTAAGGTTCATGCGCCACGTCCGACACCATTGGCTGATTCCATCCAGATCACATTGGAGAGCTTTTACGTCATCTGTTGTTCTTATGGCATGATAACACTTGGTATCATCAGCGAACAGAGCAACAGACGATGTGGTGGACTTTTCGGGCAGATCATTCACGTATACAAGAAACAATAAAGGGCCAAGGATTGAACCCTGAGGAACACCTGATAGAACGGGTATTGATCGGGATGTTTTTCCTAAAATGGTAACTTTTTGATGGCGATCTGATAGATAGTTATGAAACCAGCTCAGCAAGTTTCCGCAAACTCCAAAATTACTAAGTTTCTTGAGAAGCAGCTGATGATCGACCCTGTCAAACGCTTTAGCGAAATCGAGATAAAGGACATCAGTTTGGATTCTCTTGTCGAGTGACTCACCAAATTCGTGTAGAACCTTTAGTAATTGTGATGTTGTAGACTTCCCCCTGAGAAATCCATATTGGAGGTTATGCAGTTCACTTGAGACATGGTTGATCAATTGGTCGTATATGCAACGCTCGAGCACCTTTGATACAATTGGAAGTAAAGATATGGGTCGATAATTTGAAACTTCGTTCTTTTGACCACCTTTAGGAATGGGTATTATATTAGAAACTTTCCATTCCGCTGGTACACTACCAGGAAGTTAAGCTTCTATATTGAAGAGATCAGCAAGGGATGAGGAAATGTATGGAGCACAACATCTAAGCAACTTTGCCGGAATTTTGTCTGGACCAGTAGCTTTGTTGTCATCGAGAGAGAGAAGAGCATGTTGAACGTCATCAGGTGAGATGTTGATATCGCTTATGGGGTCACAGAAGGTGGTGGTGGACGCTGGATGGGCATCATAATCTTCTTGGGAAAGAGGTTTATTAAACATAGAAAAGAAGAAGTTGTTTAAGAGATTTGCAACGTCTTCAGGATTTTCAGCTATGACAGTTCCTTCATCACGCTTCCAACTCATTTTGTTTGGTACACTAAATGAATTTGATGTAAATTTGAACAACACCAGAATCGTTTTGTGTTTGATTTCATAAGAACAGGCAAAGACTGAAAGAACTCTTTTCGCTTACGAGATATCAGCGACTTACAGGAACGGCGAAGGTTTCTGAAATTTTCCCAGAGATTGTTACTGCAGCAGCTCTTTTTGGCTTTTCTTCTAGCCGTTTCCTTTTTGTGTAATAGGTGATGCGTTTCACTGTCTAGCCAAGGGGGAGATGTTCGTTTTTTAATAATTTTAGTCGGGATATGACGATGTACAGCATCCATGAAACGATCACACCAACGTTCCCAGTCCTTGTTGATATCATCAGGATTACTATTTGTGCTCATGTTATTGATTTGATTTAAGGCTATTGATGGCGGCAGGTTTATTGTTAAAAGAGTTCTGTATAAACCCGGCCAGTCTGCCAAGCGGTAATCTAGGACAGATCGTTTGTCACTGGAAGATAACTTGGCAAACAGGTTGAAATCAAAGAACAGAAGATTATGATCGCTGAAGAGGTCCATTGATTGTGGTGATATGCACGATACATCAATAACACACTCAGGAGTGTTGGTCAGGATTAGATCAAGGATGTTGTTCAGCCTCGTCGGATGCGGGTTAACTTGTTCAAGAAAAAAGTCGTATACGAGATCTCGAAATTCAATGGAGCTGGGAGGGGCATTCTGGGAAGTAAGGTCAGAGTTCCAAGTCAATTCAGGAAAATTAAAGTCTCCAGTTATGAAAACTTTTTCATATTTTTCAGCCACTTGAAGGAACAACGTAAAATAACTAAGCCATTCATTAAGATCACCGTTCGGTGGTCTGTAGCAGACACACAGCAGGCATTTATTTGGTGTATGAGATTCAATTTCTATGGAGAGAATTTCTAAATGGTCAGACCAAGATCCCGAGTTAACTCTGTTATATTGAATTCCTTCACGCAATGCTAGCAAAACACCTCCTCCACGTTTGTTGGATGGCCGATCTTTTCTGATGATGTTGTAACCAGAAGGCAATATTTCATTGTTACTGACATTATCATTGAGCCATGTTTCAGTGACCGATATGACATCCAAATTTTCAGCGTAAACAAGGTCTTGAAACGATTTTAAGTTGCTTGTGAATGTTCCATCCTGTCGCTTGTTGACGCTTCGGAGGCTTTGAGCGTTGAATGATAGGCAACGTTGAGTTTTAGACATAGCCACAGGGCCTGGATTAGTAGCAATATCACCAGCTAGTAAGATACAGAGGAAGATGTGTAATGGCTTTTGCTTAATCTGTAATTGAAGGCTATAACGAAGGTTGATATCCATGGTTGATCTTCTCAACATGTTATCACGAGTAGAAGTCCACAAAAAACATAATTTATCTGGTAGTGTTGTTAGTTCCGAGGAAATCAAAACATTTTCAAGGAGCGGATTTGGTGTTGAGATAACTAATTTCAGGTTTTGATCTTATTGATAGCCAGAGAGTTAGGAGAAAAAAGAGCACACCAGCTGCAACATTTAACGGCTTTTGATACGTTTTAGAATTCATTTTGCTAATTGATGATCCGGTATAAATATGCATGCAAGATTGTTATGCAATGTGAATTAAGAGTTCGTATTAAGCAAGGTTCGCAATCGAATATATTAGTTGACAGTGTCATATAGACCATATAGCATTGTAGATATATAGATTTAAAATGAGACAAAATATGAACTGGACAGGACAGGACAGAACACCAGATTAGTTACTGAGATGCGATTGATGTAAATGAGGGGAAATCCCTGAATTTGAGACCAAGATATGGTATGATTATATATCCACGCCACGTAGCAACCGCGAGACTTTAAATGAATCGCAAATATTGCGCCAATAAAAACAAAACGGTAAATGCAAATGTTGCTGTTAGTGAGAGGTAAACACAAAACCAAAATATATAGTTCACTTTAAAGGCCCAAAACCAAGTGACAATGCCGTAAAGTTGTTGCTATGGAAGGCGACGCCAGACAAGATTTGAATTTAAAGTTCCAACGGTGAAAATATCAAAAGTGCAATAAATCACGAACAGTACATCCAAATGATATAAAATTTACTCATCAGAACAGGAACACAATTTATAGTTCACTCAGAAAGTTTCAAGCGAATAGCAGCAAAACGACGGATATAATTTACACAATAACCCAGATTCCCGGTTTGTGATGAACGACACTGCAATTTGATACAAAATCACCACAAAATAATCCAACACAACTCCTTTCAATGGATTCACACCAATTTAAAAATACAACAACCAGACGAACCAAATCTTTAGCTTTAATTAGATGTATAGATCATCAATGTAAATTGAGAAAATATTTATTTATGGCCGGAATAAAACGGAGGTCATTCGATCGTAAACCTATTTAACCTTTTCCTCTTACATACAATTGTATCTGTATGCAAATTACCAACCAGAAACGGTATGACATAACATGATGTCTTTCAAAATTAAGTAAAGCAATACAAAATTTTCATGTAAGAATATATTTTGTAGCAAACAAAAAATATAAAAATAACTCAGACCTAACTATGAATAGTATCTCAGTGATGAAAAACACCACACTAAATTGTTAAATTATAGTTTCAAAACTTTAAATATTCTTTGTAAATGAGACTAGATAAGACCACATACCTTCTTTTAAAACAAATCATTCATTTTTTGATAATTTAGAAGGAAATCGTCACTGAAAATCCACTTTTTGCAGTAATAATAATAACTCTATATAAAATCCTTCATCTTTACTTGCTAGGAAGATGGCGGCCAAGATGCGTGAGGCAACATATGCGCTGCGGCATTTACGTCAAAGGTTCCGACTTGAGTGGCACTTCTGTTTCATATCTTTATTCTGTGATGCTGTTAAAAGCTAAATGTTCATTGGTTGACAAGGTGCGACAATTCCCGTAGTTGCATACCAGAGGTATGCCAATATTACGATCTGGTACTAATTTGTTTTCAGTCAGTACCACATAGGTACATAGTACTTTTGCTATCTGCATACTTGCATGTTGCTGGTAATATGTGACTAGTAAAACTTTCAAAGGTATTCAAAACTGTAATTAAGCAGGTATATGTATTAGTCTAAATTGTCTTGTCATAAAACACAATTGATCTGATGGGACTAAGGAATGTTGGAGTCAATGGTAGTGTTTGTATATGTGCTCCTTATCCTTGTAGTTTTAGACAACTGAATGATTAGTAGACCTTGAGTTTTATGAGCTTACATACACGGCAATAACCATTAGAGTACTAATCTGGTACAACTAACATACTGTACTTGAATTATCGCACCCTGAGTTGGTATGATATGATGGTCAGAGATTGATTTGTACTTAACCACCATTTAAACTATCAAATATTATTGCACAAGTGTATCCAATTAATTAAGTGATGTTGCTTGAAACAATTTTCCATGATGATTTTGTAGTACAATTAGTGATGTCACACAACAATTTGATAGGTTCTTTGCATTGATTGCGTTATATGGGAGGTGTTTTTTTTTGCTGCAAATTGCCACACAAGAACAGCATTGTAACATATGTTAATCAAATCAGTGACCATGGGACTGCAATTTTATGATTCTGAAGGTGTGGTGAAATTGGTTATAATAAACTATGTCAAAAACTCAAAATTTTCAATTTAAGAATATTTTTGTTGGTTAATTACCAACCTTGTACCCAGGGTCCTCGTTGTTAAAGGTTCTGGTACATGTGTAGGGAATCTTAAATAATATTCCATCCGATATATATACACAAGCCCACCTAATTATCATTAATAAAACATACATAAATTACATGTGTAACCACAGTTAATAGAAGGGGGATGGTTAGGCTAGCGTACCACGTGACAAAATATGTTATTGTCCACTTTTTATTTTGATCATGTGACCAATAAGCGGTATCAGACGCTCAAAGCTCAAATTATATTCATGAGCGAACATACAGCTGTTTAACGAATACTGTGTATTTCTTCCACTGTTTACTTCGCTGATTCAAACTATTATATTAAGAGGAGTTCTTGGGCATATGGGTGGCGGTAATTGCG